ACAAAATAATAATTTATAAATTATCAAGGGCTCATGAGGGAGGGGGAGGGGGAGCGGGGAAGGAGGGAGGGGAAAAATGAGGACCTAATGCCAGGGGCTTAAGTGGAGAGGAAATGTTTTGAGAATGATGAGGGCAATGAATGCACAAACGCGCTTTACACAATTGATGTATGTATGGCTTGTGATAAGAGCTGTATGAGCCCCTAATAAAATGATTTTTTTTAATTAATAAATTCAACTTCATGCTTCTATACAACAAAATAACACTCTGCTTTAGAACTGAGTTTAATTAATAATGAACAAAAATTTCAATTATTTTAAAACTATCTCATTCATTTAAAAAAAAAAAGCAAAGCTTTATCAATGGGTATTATCAAGCTTTGCAAGGACTTTAAATTAATTGCTACAATTTTTACTGCCATTACTTACTTGTGAAAAGCATCCCGTTTTCAAACACTAACTAATGAAAACCTCCCAATATATTTACCAAGTAGTACTATCTCTCTAGTCTTTACAAAGGCAGGAAGGAGGGAAATAACAGACACCTGAGATCTACTGATTTCTACCAGATGTCAAACTCTTGCTATCGTTGACACCAATATCAGTCATCAAATATGAGGATTTCTCCTCAGGTGAGCACCCCAAGCACGAAAACGACTTTAAGTACCTTGTACTTCTGCCTCAGTTCTTCGGTATCTTCTTTTTCTACCTCTAGGACACGGCGTCGTTCAGTAGCATCTTCAGCATAATCAAGCTTAATTAAAATAGACATATAATTAGTTTCAATTTCTAAATTAAAAAATGCCAAATCCACTGCTATTCAGTCAATTCCAACTCACAGGACCCTGGAGGATGGAGTAGAATTGCCTTACAGGATTTCCAAGTCTGTGTGCATCTTTATGAAAGCAAACTGTTTTATCTTTCTTCTTTAGAGTAGCTGGTGGATTCAAAGTGCTGGTCTTCGGATTAGCATCTTAAGCTTTAACTTACCACTGTGCCAGTAGGACTCCTTTAATTCCTAACATAACCCAGATTCGTTATGAAAAAGCCACTTACACAACTGCAGTATTATTTGAAAACAAAAAACTATTTTTCTCAGCTACTTTTTTTTTAACGATCACTCCACACAGAGAAAGATAGCATGCAAAAGCGTTCATTAAGCTTTCCTGCTGGTGGTTTCCCAACAGGCACATTGGTGGAGAATGCCAAAGAATTCAGAGTAAATAGGGAAAATATTTTAGCACTGAGAAGCAGGTTATCGTGGGTGACTGTCGTACATGGCCCTAGAAGGGCAGAACTTTCACCACAACAAGTTATTTTAAGAGTTAAACAAAATTGCCTACTAAAATAAATTAGGATCTGAATCTTAAGTTTGATTGTGTCGTGTTGCCCAATTCTGGGAAAACCAGTAAGCTTCTTTATGCCTTACTGTGAACACAGGAACATGATTTACCATCCACCTGCTCTGGTGGTGCTTTGGATTAGGTGTGGGCTCCTAGCTACAAGGTCGGTGGTTCAAACCCACAAACCCTTCCATAGGAGAACGATGAAGCTATCTGCTCTATAAAGATTTATATTCTCAGAAACTTTACAGAGATAGCTATGAGTCAAATCAACTCAGTGACTCAATGGCAGTGGGTTTAAGATTTTTTTGAGTAAAATAATCTCAAAATTACTGGGGGGCAGGGGCGGCGTGTATGGGGGACAACTAAAACCACATCCCACCTAGTAATTTTGTTCTTACACTGGCATCTGAACTTGAAATTAATAACAATTTAAAATCCCACTTTAAAAGAGCTATTGAGATCAATTTACCTCCATTTCCATGCGACCCATACCCATGACATCATACTTGACAACAATCGGGATGGGATCTGTTCGCCCTGTAACAGGAACACACAATCAAGGTAAGATGTAAAGCCAAGTCAACAACTTACTTTACACATCGGGTTTGGGTGGTTAGAGCTCTTGCCTTGGAGTGCAGAGACCAGAAAGCTACAGTGAACCAAACAAAAGCCATTCTCACAGCTTACCCTCAAAACCTGTCTCTCCCCCGTTTAAACCCAACCAAGCTTCTTGCCTGATCTTCCAGCTGTGGATAATTCCATATTGCCATAGCAAAATCATTAAGAAGTGCAAAGCACTCCAAGCAATGACAAAAGGAGGTTTAAAATGAAAACTTTTAAAATAACCTCCTATCAGCAATCACTTCACTCTCATTGTCCACTAACATCCTCCCATACTCTTTTTAAACTGGTAATAAAGATCTCAGCTGACACATTTCCATAAAAAAGGCACAATGTAAGAAACTATAATTGTAACTCAGTGTAGTTAATATTTTGGTTTGTTTTCAGAAGATACTTCGCAATTAACTAGGCTATACAAATTTAAATGAAAAGCGATAGTTACTGCTTTTCAGAACAGAGGATAGCTTTCCATTTTCAACGACTGCTCTGAGGGCCCATTTCCTGGAGTGGATTTAACACTGGCAGTGGTAATCGGTAAGCTGTGAAAAGGACTAGTTGCGAAGAAAATTGACTTTAAACTAATCAATCTATGCTGGAGATTTTTAATAAATGTATATTTAATCCACTCATAACCAGCCAAACAAAGCAAATGGGGCAGACAAGCACTTTACTACCACAGCTGTTTTACATCACAACTTGCACTGTTCATTGTGATGTAAGCCCACTGAAAGAGGACTTACCTTATCCGATGTACACCTTTAGTGAGAAAACACAATGTTTACGTCCCTCATCATTTCACTCAGGCTGGTGTAAACAATTGTTTTTTGTCATTTTGTTTGTTTGTTATATGCACGTATATATTATACCTTTGGGCTAAAAACTGAGTTTTGCCTGGCTAAAATCTGAAGCATTACCAAAAAAAGTAAATAAATAAATGTCATTACTATGACTGAAATTGATTCTGGAAGAAAATAAAAGAAACCACTTAAAAATGACAGGCAACCTCTTCAGCTGTTCTATATTTGCAGGATTATTTCTCATCTTAAGTAACACAAAAGTGAATTCAGAAGTTTAACTCTTATCATCATTATCCCATTATTACTTTAAAATTACAAACAGGGATGCAGTTATAAACAATTATCACAGTGAGGATGAAGTTTAAATAAAGAAGCATCTTACGTCAGCAAAAAAAAAAATTCTAGGATACAGTCTTCTTTTAGATTCTATCACACTATCAGCTAAAGAAACAAAAATACACTCTACCTTCTGCCCAAAGGTATAATAAATAAGCAATGACTGCAATCTTTAGCAAAAGGACCAAATTAAAGACGGGTTATAAAAATGACTTCCTAGGTGCAATATCACTTTCATAACGTCTCAAATCAGGGATTTACTGATGAAAATAAATGGTCCAATGAAATAATTGAAAATAAATGTCAAAGGAATTTACTTTTGTTTGTTTTTATATCCTTTTTGGTTTACAAGAATTTGTTTTGCAAGAATCAGAGAGGTTTTGGTACAAATTCGTTACTTCTGTAAACCCCTGTTTATAAACTCTGCATTAGTACTTTTGCCTTCTAAGGCAGTCAAAGTTTGTTTTATTTATAAATTGCAGTAGCAAGTGCTAGTGCCCATTACATTGTGGGGAAATCAAGTTTTGACAGTATTAAAATTTAATGTTTTAACTGATTTTTTTTGACAGTTCTAACACTAACAGGTAAAAAAATCTCTTCTTAACATTACCCTTTAATGAACAAGGATCAGACAAGTTGCATAAGGAAAGGAAAGGAAAATGAAAAAGACCAAGCAGAAGGATGAAGGCTACAACAGAGAAAGTAAGCCTAACATATTGGTGCACTGATGACAAAAGGAGTAATTCAGTCTGAAAATAAAAAATTACCACTGCTAAGTTTACCATCACCACAACAAGTCCAGGATCATAATGCTGTAAAAAAGAAACACCATTTGTTAGGCAGAAACCATTAGGGTAGGAAATAGGCCTTCTAGCAGGCAGACAGGACGGGGGTAAAGTAACAATTGGGCTTTGTCCCTCCCCCGGAGTCCAACGAGGACAGAGGAAGAACATCTTGTGCTACAGCAGCTGGTTTCATAGGAGCAGGAACCGGGTGTGAGGTTTTTGCTCTGCTTCTTGAGAACTCCACCTCCTCTGACAGTGCCCTGAGAGGGAGGTGCCACTCTAGATGAGGGCAGTCCCAGCTTCCACTCTCATTTTGGTAGATTAGCATTGAGGGCCACTGAGGCCCACTGTCACTTTCCCTTAAAGAAATCACATCAAAGACTGAATCAGATCAACTGGACACTGATCAAGTCGTTTGTTTCACTAAAATAACTCCAGGAGGAGAATTTGGAAGGGGAGGGTGGAGTCTTCAAGACCTTCCAAAAAAAAAAAAATACAGCAAGAAAGAGGCCTGGAAAATATCTTTGATCCCTGGTGTGTGGAAAACTTAGGTATATTTGAGTTCTGTTATGAATAAATAGAACTCTAAGGCTCTCCTTAGAACTGTGTTTCCTTTTAATGAGCAGTTTTCCCAGGGCTGCCAACATCTTTCTGCACACAACAAAGCTAACCAACCTTTGAAGGAGACCAGGAAGTCCAGACAAAGTAGTATCAAAAAGGCAGTCAGTCACCTTTACAATTAACCTATTTAGAGGTAACTCAGAAATAAACAGCCCGGCTTCCAAAGAACTCTGAAAGTGCTATTACTGTGCAGCTCAAGTATAATTTCTTTTCATAATTAAAAAGGTTCCAGAACAAGGGGAGAAACACT